ATGATATTAATAAAAACATTATTCTTCAGCCAAACAATGTAGTTCCTCAGAAACGGTTGTGGTTCCAACAAAGTGGTTGCAAGCAACACAGAAATGTAAACAAAAGATGTATGTTTGTAGAGAAATTTACAACAGCTTTGAACTTTGCTCAACCAATCAGAATCAAGGACCGGAACTATCCGTTTTATAATGTTACAAAAGCTTTTTCTTTCAGATAAATGCTGATTTTTAAAAAAAATCTTTCTATTCATCAAAGAATCCTGAAAAAATGTACTTAACTGTTTGAAATACTGATGATAATAATAATGATAATAATAAAAATAAAATGTTTCAGCAAATCAGCATATTAGAATGATTTCTGAAGGATCATGTGACACTTAAGACTGGAGTAATGATGCTGAAAATTCAGCTTTGATCACAGGCATAAATTAAATTTTTTAATATATTAAAATAGAAAGCAGTTACTTTAAATAGTAAAATTATTTCAAGATATTACTGCTTTTACTGTATTTTTGGGTCAAATAATGCGTGCGTGTGTGTGTGTGTGTGTGTGTGTGTGTGTGTGTGTGTGTGTGTGTGTGAATATAATATTTATCACGTGGGGAAGAAGCAATCAATCTACATTTTAATAATTTGTGATGGTGCTTTTTATATTGTGTGTAAACGATAAAGAGACTTGTTTTATGTTGAAAGCTTGTCATTTACCATCACCTCCTGGATGGGTCCTCCCCACTCAGCAAAAACTCGTTGAAAAGACGTCGAAAAGACGTAAATGCCAGACGTCTAAACAACGTTAAAATTTGGTTGAAAAGTGAAAGGTGAAAAGACGTCTTTTTCAGGTCGTCGAAAAGACGTCTATAAAAAGACGTCCAAATTACGTCTAAATTTGGTTGAAAAGTTAAAGGTGAAAAGACGTATTTTCAGGCCTAATTACTGTCAAAATAAGACAATTCACAAGAGTACCAAAACATTTATTGACACATTAAATACATCTTTTACGTAAAAAAAAAGCTTAAGCCTACATTTTCAA